AATTTCACATCATCCTTGTATCACAAAAATGAACATAACTTCCAGATACATTTAGTTTACTATAATTTCAAAGATACCCTGGTTTGCTAAGGGCTTTTCATCCATCAGCTCTTCACAATAGTGCAGTGGAATGTGAAACAGAATCATTATATTACTAATGAGGAAACTGGGTCTTAGCGGCTAAATGACTGAATGGTCATAGAGCTAATAAGTTGGGGAAGCAGGACTGAACTCGGGCCTCCTTGCTTGTAAAACCCAAGCTTTAATCACCTAACAATGAGATTTCTGGCTTACTTTATTTTTATAATTATTTGAATTAATGAATGCTGACCTGGAGGAAAAATCCTTAAAAGCTAGCTATCAACAGGAATAGCTAAACATGCATGTTTCTAAGCTGTTTTTTGTTAAATTTTCTTTTCTCTCTCTACATCTATACATACATATATATTTAGATATACTGTATATTAGTGTATACATATAAAATCGATTTTACATCTTGACTCTATTTACCTCTCAAAGAGTCAAGATGGCATCTTAATTACTTTAATCAAATAATTAGACTTTAGGTTTCATTTGCAGCTTCCTAGCGGGATTCAGTGCTGTGAATGAGTTTTGCCTCTGTTCCTCCAGCAATCCGACTCTTCCTCCGATAGGCTTTTTAATTAAGAGGCCAAGAAGTGCTGAACATGCGTTGCATCACCAATGTGGGTCTGAAACCTCCCCCAGCTTCTACTTGAAGAATGTGTGTCAGCTCACCATGACAGGAAGGAAGCCTCTGCCCCCTACAATGGAAGTCACATTTTCTGAATTAGGTACTTTTACATATACTATTCCATTAATATCATTTAATTCTCACAACAGCCCTTTAAAATATAAACTGTCATTTTCTTTTACCAGATGAGGAAACTATAGCTCAGCAGGGTGACAAAAGCTAATAAGTGACACGAAGTCATGACAGTTGGGGTAGAGAAGCAGTTGGACCAATGCAGGACTGATTCCAAAGTATGTTTTTTTTCCTACTATTCTAATGCAAACACAATAAAATTATAACAAAGATTATGCAAACACATTGGGGGGAAAACTCAACCAAAATTCCAGTTGGTTAGCAAGTTAAGTTAAATCAGAGCTAGAAGGGATTTTGGTGACCTGGTCCAACATCCTTATTTTATAGATAGGGAAACTAATGTTCAGGGGAATGGTGATCACCTGAGGTCACACAGCTAGTTGAAATGCAGAGCTGTGATTCACACACAGGCCTGACTCCAAGTCCCGTGATATTCCCATTAGAATATGCTGCCGGTCCCGGAGCTGCCTCACTAACTTCAGACTTATACGGGGTCCCATGAATATTAATGGTATTGACAAGATAAAGCCATAGATCTGCAGTCTAAGTGTATTTTGCTAAACAGCCTTCTGCTTCACCATTGCCCTGCTTGTAAAATTCATGCAGGCATCTGTTGTTTCATATCTGTAATTTGTTTTGAGATGCCTTGGGTGGGGGGGTACGCACATCCTGAGTGCAAATCAGCATCCTAGTCAGGTGCAGAGTAGAGACCTGAGTCTCGTATTAGGTTCTGCCTTCCATTTCCCTCCTAGGAGGCAGGGTAACACTTCACTTTTAAGAGGCCATTAATTAGTACTAGATTAAAAGTGTAACTACTTAAGCATTGCTTGTCTTACCCAGAGGAACACTGGAAAACTGAAGCCAAGTTTTTCCTACTGATCAGAATAATGGAGTGCCTGCCCCTCTGCAGACTAGCTCAGACTGGAGTGTACACTGGGATTATTTTCACAGTAACTCAGACACTGCCTATACCTGGCCTTTGAGGAAGTTCGGGTTGCTAGAACACTAGATTTCAAGTATTTCAGACAGGAAAGACTGTGGAATAGTTTAAGAATAAGTAGACACATCACTATCATTTATTATAAGTTTTTCTTTTCTAAACACCTGGCAGAGTGCCTTGCCCCACAGTAGGTGCTCAATAAATATCGTATGAATCACTGCTCTAAAACCTTAAATTCTATATAATTAGAATGATAAAGGAGGAGCTTAGCCAACCTGTATGTCAATTTTTTGCCACTAGTTTTTTATATACCTTATAAAACAGCTTGTCTGAATATTCCTTTTTATCTAACGTAAGGGGGCTGAAGGAAGACTCAGGTTATTGCAGTCCCATTCAATCAGGTAAATAACTGAGACAATTATATGTTATATGCTAGTAGTTAGAGATTAGTTAGCCCCCAGTAAAGCTCAGATGTATGGACAAATAATTGCAACACAGTGATTTATATAAACATGAAATAGGTAGAGAGAGAGCAGAAAGAACAGGTAAACATGTATTTGGAGACTTGTGGCTAGGGGGAAGAAATGCCTCAGAAAGCTTTTGGTTGCCAAATAGAAACACGTAAAGCAAGAAGGTAGGCAAAAAGGAAGATATTGTTTGGGGTGGTTGGCTCACTTCACACCACCAGGCATTCTTTTGAGAAACTCAATAAAAGATGTTAGTAACAGCTATCATTTATTGAGTGTTCCAGGAATGAAACCAAATATTTTCACATCCGTTATCACACACCCTTCCTGGAGGCAGGGATCATTTTTGTCATTTTCGTGAAGAAGAGTTAAGAGACTTGACCAAGAGCCCATAGCTTAATAAGATGGACTCGGAAGATTAGCAAAGCTGTAGTTAACTGGTTTTCCAAAAGTATTCTGTAGATTCACAAGTTTGCAATGGTAGCACAGGAGGTGGAGGTGAAGGGACAAAATAGCCTACACAAACCTGCTTCAACCACAGCAGCTGCTCTTTGATCTATTTTACATAATAGACTTGAATAATATGACTTTATTTGGATAAGGGTACTTTAAAAAACAAAACAAAACAAAAACTGCTGTAATTGAACAAATTAGTTTCTTGGGGCCATAGTCTGCAATTTAGTCAACGTAGCAGATAATTAAAAATTGACTTACTAAGCACAACTTAAAATATTCACATTAAAGGGAAAAAAACAAAAACATTCAGATCACACTTCCATTCTGAGCAAGCAGATACCTGCTTTACTTGCAGGCCAAGGCATGAGTGCAGTTTAGAGATGGGGATGGATCCTAATGCTGAATGCCAATCACTTCCTTCCAAAACCACGGGCAGCTAGAGAATTCCTGGCCTTGCTGACCTCAAGCCAGCCCTCACTATCATATTCGTTTTTCTGCTTCAAACCACGTGCCAAAGGCATGGGCTGCTGTTATTGCCTCACCAAGTCCCCCACTGACAGCAAAAACTGATCTCCTGCTGCCAGGTGCCACCACAGATAAAGTGGCTCTAATAACTAGTGGAGTCATTTGTGATGCACTTTTAATTGGATCAATTTCCTCTCAATTACATAATCTTTTTGAAAATCGGATGCGATTTCATAATCAGAACATGGTGCTTTCTCCAGGTGAAAAGCACAAGACAAGTTCAACATCACTTTAATTACCTCTTTACCTATCCTTTGGCAGCGATCACAACAGAAGCCCAAAACACAACACTGCTACTATAAAAACAATTTTGAGTAGCTTAGCTTAGCAAATTGTGTTTCCATGAAAGCAAGGGAATAACTCTTTGGTTTGCCATCACCCCTGTACCTAAAGAGCAACGTATGTTGCTTAGTAAACACCAAAGCATGAGGAACCCTGTCACGGATTCTCTCACCCACTTCTTAAAAGCACAGACTATCTTCCTTTTTTGAACTGTAATTATAAAGATAAAACAAATAGCAGAGGCTCAGCTTAGAACAGGGTGTTGGTGACTCGAAACCTTGGGGGATGATTCTATACACCTGTGTGTGAGAGTAGGATCTGGACTGTCTTTACATAATGGTGCTTTTGGATGAATTTTCACCTGGACAGATACGTGTGCTCTCAAAGAATGCAGTGTCAGATCAGGAAGTAAAACGTAGTGCATATCATCCTTCTCCTCATCTCCCAAATCCCATATCTAATTAAAAGACATGAACACCAGTGATGAAGAAAACAGTTATCAATTATTTAATGCTTGATAGAGGAATGGAAATAAATCCCAAAATCAAACAGTACGCACTCACTTCAGGAAAATACAGAATAACGACCCAACAGTTTTGTCGTCTGTTTTAGTAATGAAAATGAGACGTGTCCACCTCCCCACTTTGTTGGCCCTGGCCTATGCTGTACAATTCCTCAGACAACTCTTAGCACAGGCCAGTGAAGAGAGGTAGTGTGAAAAACGATGAGCCCTAGAGGTATCCAGTTTGCTGGCTATATTAGCGTTTGTTTGCTTATTCCCATCTTCCTATGCTTTGGCATACTGCCAATCCACATATGCTTCTTTAAAATGCAAGCGATTTCCAGGTTGAAGTCTTCAACACCAGCCATCTAGGGTCAATACATTCTCTGTAACATCTGCAATGGGAGACCAATCCAAGATGGCACAGATCCTCCAGCCGAGAGTTACTGCATCCTAAAGGGACTGTATATTCCCTTTGGTGGCACTAGATGAAAGAGCTTTCAAACTGGTAAAGAGGAACATGATGTTGGAAACATCACTGAAAGGTAGAGCAGATCCTACTGCAGCATGCACACTGAATGCAACCAGAGTTGAAGAGAAAGTATCACAAATGAAGCCCATTAACAATGGACCAAGGACATCAAAGCCAAAAGGGAGAAATCAACAAGGATTTAATAAAGGGACAAATTTCAAATACAGGGCAAAAGGCTAAACTGGCTCTCTCTACTGAAGACTGGGAAGTGCCTAATGTCTAGTCAAACTTCAGCTAACACTATCGTATGTCCTATTTGGGCAGTGTATATGTTAAAGCTCTAAATTTAGATGGGAGGTAGGGTGGAGAAATAACATATAAAAATCACTAAAAGACTGAGTTTCTAAAATTCTAGGACTACCCAGCTGGAATTAGGACATAGCCCAAGTCTACTCTATAGTACCACCAACAACCAAGGACTAAGGGAAGGGAAGCTGGCTGGGGAACAGAAGAAACCGGCATTTCTCATCCCCTAAGGGGTGGAATATCTTCTCAGATGGTAGGTGTAGATCTTGATGCAATGATCCCAACAGTCCAAGACCAGCAGCTGACCCTTAGGAGTAAGGGCAATGCCCACTGGACAGGTGAGCCCCTCTCGAATAAGGACACTATGGCCCCCGCCCTTAGGAAAATGGAGAATTTCCTTGCGACTACTATCGGCCACTATGAGATCACCACGAGCATCCACACACATGCCAGCAATGCAACGGAAATCCTCGTTCTCCGAGAAGAAGTGGCTAATCTGGCGACCCAACTGCCCATCAGGGCCCACAGAGCCAATGGAGAAGCCACCCTCCAGGTGGTGCTCATTCTGCCGATTCTCCAGATTGAGGCCCAAGCCCTGGGTGAAGTAGACGGTGCCCTCAGCATCACAGGTGACAAACTTGGGCCTCACAGCACTGCAGAGGCAGCTGTATTTGACCACCCCTGCTCCTCGGTCAACAGTGAAACACCAAAGCTTTCCACCTTCCACATCAGTTACTACAAACTGGCCAGATGGCAGGGCTGTGATGCCCCATGGTTTGCTCAGCTGGCTCCTGTGACAGGCCACGCAATGGCCATCCAACGTATATACCTTGAGGGAGTTATCGTAGCTGTCAGTCACACCAATCAGCCCATGGCAGTTCATGGCCACTGAGAGAGGAGTGAGATTGGGCAAATCAGCTCCAAGGAAGCTCAGCACAAAGCTGTCAATGCCACTGGGGCTGCGGCGGATCTCCTTCAAAAAGCCTTTGCGGGTGAAGACTTGTATACGGTAGTTGCCACGGTCAGCAACCAGCACCTCGCCTTGGCTGGTCACGTAGAGACTGACTGGGAGATTGAACATGCCTGGAGTGCTGCCTTTGGCCCCCATCTTCTTGAGAAAGAGGCACTGCTGGATATTAGAGGCTGCCTCAGGACCCCGCTGTTTAGCGGGTGAGGCCCTGGGGCTGGCAACCACTTCCTCGGGGCTCATGTCCATCTCTCTAAATGTTACAGAGGTCGAGGCGGCAGAGGCCGCAGCCTCCATGGCCCAGGAATCTTCCATATTAACTGTTCGGGGCTTCTTAACAGCCTGCCCAATTTGGAGGGGGCCAACGTGACCTACCTTAAGGAGCTCCACATCTTGCAGGGTGAGCTCCCGGGGCAAGCTAGCCGTGAGCTCTGGCTCCTCCTCATCAGCTGTCTCCTCCAGTAATGCCACGTCTGCCTGCTTGATCTTGGCCAGGAAGTAGTCACAGCGAGACACAGCCTGCACCTCTGCAATGTTAAGCAGGTAACTCTGCTCCTCTATCACTTGACTATTGCACTTCTCAGCTTCAGCCAAAGAGCCTGTGAAGAACTTCCGAGAGCGAGCCAGCTCGTCCTGGATCCTGCGCTCCTCCTGCCCATACTCCTGGAGAACTGCTTTATACCTTGCCTGAAGGTCCTTGGAGACACCTTCCAAGGCTACCTTGCGCCGCTGCAGCTCCCCTATAAGCTCCCGCAGACGAGTCAACTTCTCTCCAAAGTCCCGACGCCGCTCCTCAGCTGCTTCTTTGACAGGGAGTGTACAGTGGCCAGGAGGCTGGTGGTCCGCCTCCCGGCAAGGCTCACACAACACCAAGCCACAGCTCTGGCAGAACTGCCGGGGCAGACGTCGCCCACAGGACCGGCACATGAGCAGCCCCACGGCCTCGCTGAGCCCAGCTGTGTCAATGATCTTCAGAACTGTCAGGTTGTCTGTCAGCTGGGTCAGGCTGGTTATGCGAGTAATCTTGCTACAAAAGGGACAGCGGACACCATTGATACTACTGGCCAATAGCTTCTCCAGGCACTGGCGGCAGATGGTATGGCCACAGTGCAGCAGCTTGGGCCGCAGCTGCTCTTCTGTGAAGGACTCCATGCAGATAGGGCATTCCAGCACTTCCCGGAGGGCGTCTAGGTTCAGGTGAGAAGCTGCTGCTGCAGCCATTGCTCTTCCTTTGAAGGGTCCTATTAGCACAGCCCAGAACTGAACAGCTCAGTATTCATGCCCCAGAGGGTCAAATTCCTGCTAAAGAGAAAAAAAAA